TTCTCCTACTACTTTCTTATAAATATTCATGGGCAAAATAAAAAATACATAAAATTAAATTATGTCTATAAATGAGCATATGTATATATTTTTCAAAGCACAGACCCTTTGCCTATATTTTTGCCTTCATTATTCTAACCCCTTTCAGAAAATTACCTAATGTAATTATCTTGTGTCATCTACTTTTCTTTTTTTTAATTCTTGTCAGGAAGACCCACTACATTATCTGAGACAATGGGGAAAGCTGACATATGGCTTATTCGAAACTCCTGGAATTTTCAGTTTCCACATCCACTCTTACCAAATGTTGATTTTGTTGGAGGACTCCACTGCAAACCTGCCAAACCCCTACCTAAGGTAAACATACTGTCATTGGTTTTATTTTGTTGGCTTTGAATTTTCAGTAGAAATGATTCTACAGTCTTCATTCAGAGTGTTTGACTTACACTGAAAGAAAGATGGGAAGTGGGTGGGGTAAAGCAGATACCAATTAGAACTCATGTACATAGTGATACCATCACACGTATGTGAGTTTTATGAGTACTACTAATAGAGGTGAATACTAAGAAGATTTCAAAAATAGAGTTGGTTAAATTAAAGTCTTCATTATTTAACACCTAAGAAGGTATTGATCATTCATTCAAATAATATTTACAAAGGGATTAGCACAAAACACAGGTAAGTGCACAATTTTCTGTGAAAATAATGGACTCAGTTTCTGTCCCCACATACCTTACATTCTACTTGAAAAGATAGAATATGTGCAAGTAATAAAAATTATATAAAAACTATTATCTCAAGGAAGAACCCAATGACAAGAAAGCATCAGTGGAGATAATAGAAAGTATCCTGGAGTCACTGATTACTAAGATGAGAGCTGAACAATACACAGGAATAAGTAAAAGAATGATGGGGAGAGATACACAAAAGAAGGAAAGCAGGTAAAGTGGTCAGGATAGTTCTCAAGTCCTCAGGTTTAATCTGCAGGGAGACACTAAGAATCAGATGATGCTGAGAGGCAAATTAGAGCCAGATACATATTTAGGAGTGGAAATATTTTTTAAGCACATTGAAAAACTGTGAAAAAGAGTTAAGAAAGAAAGCTATATGAAAAGATTCTCTTCTTTAAGAAGAGCTTTCAAGATATTCAATGATTAAATTGCAGGAGGGTCAGAATAAAGAGCCAGCCATTCAGGAAATTTTGCATGGATTCAGGTAACAGATGATGGAAAAGTGGATGAATATGATGATAGAAATAATGATACCTACTTTTAAAAAATAGTGACAACTTTATGTTGTGTCGTGTGAAAAAATATTAACACAGAAAAACACTTGAAATGTCTCTGACCGGTAGTCAGTTACTCACAGATATTATTTATTTTGCAATTATTGTTATTTTGCTATTATTACTAATAGTACTAATTACTTAACATGTGCAGGTCACTTGAGATATCATTCTTCATTTAATAGAGCCAGATTTTTCAGTACATCAAAATTATATTATCTTGCAAAGTCATAGTTGACAGACACCATGTGGACTTGATTAAAACTAGACATGTCAGTTTATCAGTTTTGACAGTAAGATGAGCTATCAGGAGAACCCGCTCCTGATGTTTAACGTAGGTTCTTTTCTATTTCCTAAGTGTCTCGGCTGGGTTGAGAAATAAAGAGAAAGAGTAGGAGAGAGAAATTTAAAGCTGGGTGTCCGGGGGAGATATCACATGCCATCAGGATCTGTGATGTTCCCAGAGACCTAAAACCAGCAAGTTTTTATTAGCGTTTTCAAAAGGGGAGGGAGTGCACAAATAGGATGTGGGTCACAGAGATCACATACTTCACAAGGTAATAAAATATCACAAAGCAAATGGAGGCAGGTCGAGATCACAGGACCACGAATGAGGTAAAATTAAAATTGCTAATGAAGTTTTGGGCATTGTCATTGATAACATCTTATCAGGAAACAGGGTTTGAGAGCAGACAACCTGTCTGACCACAGTTTATTAGGTGAGAATTTTCCTCCACCTAATAAGCCTGGGAGCGCTATAGGAGACCGGGACTTATTTTGTCCCTTAGGCTTCGACCATAAAAGACGGAATGCCTTAAAAAGGGACTGTCCATAGGCCTACCTTCAGGGCGCATTCTTTTCTCAGGGATGTTCATTGCTCAGAAAAAGAATTCAGTGCTATTTCTCCTATTTGCTTATGAAAGAGGAGAAATATAGCTTTGTTCCATCCGGCTCACTGGTGGCCAGTTCAAAGTTACCTCTCTTGTTCCCTGAACATCGCTATTATCCTGTTCTTTTTTTTAAGATGCCCAGATTTCATACCGTTCAAACACACAGGCTCTACAAACAATTTGTGCAGTTGACACAATCACAGGGTCCTGAGACAACATTCATCCTCCTCATCTTACGAAGAAGATGATGGGATTAAGAGATGAGAGTAAAGACAGGCATAGGAAATCACAAGGATATTCATCGTGGAAGTGATTAGTGTCCATGAAATCTTCACAGTTTATGCTCAGAGATTACAGTAAAGACAGGTGTGAGAAATCATAAAAGTATTAATTTGGGGAACTAAAAAATGTCCGTGAAATCATCACAATTTACGTTCTTCTGCCACAGCTTCAGCCGGTCCCTCCCTCTGGGGTCCCCGACTTCTCACAGCAATGAGCTAGTTGAAATCCTAAAATTCTCTCATAGGTAATGAGGATCTTCACCAGTATCACAACTTAAAACACTTCCTCAACAAAATAAATGTGTTCCTGTAATATTTGCAGACAAACTCAGTTTCACTTGATCTTACTAAAGCATTTAAATCATTCTTCATTGAGACTCCAGGGGTTTACATATTACAGCATAAACATACCCTATGAAAGCAGATGATTTTTGTCATATGACAAGTAACTCATTAAAGCTCCCTGTGTCAACTTGTCTTAACATCATAGCTGTCTGACAGAGAAACACAGAGATAATGAACAATGCATGTATAATAAAGACCAAATAATTTATACCACTTGTATCTGAATAGTGTTCTTAGTTTCAATACCAAAAAAATTCTGTCGGCATATAAGATTATATTCTTTATGAAAGAACACAATAAACTCATATATTTTAAATTAATATCACACTTTTAAAACCTGTGTAAAAAGCAAGCATTCTTTATTACATTATTAAATCATCTCTTAAAAGATAATTTTTGTCCACATAAAACTGAGATTTTATTCCATTGTTAAAACTCAATATCTATATT